GTCGCCTTCCCAACCACACCCGGCCCTCCAGCCCTCCGCCCCCCAACCACCAACGCCAGATAAGCCGCCAGCTCCGCATCATCCCCAATCTCAACCACAACCTCTCTATTCCCTACCTGTCCAGCCTGTCCTCCCCCACCACCCCCACGATACACAACCACGCCCTCAACCCCCAACACGACAGTCCCGCGATGCTCGCGCATCGCGAGCGCCGCAACCTCTTCGAGCAAGGGGGCCTGTAAAATGGAGAGCCAGAGGGTTTTTGCGGGCTGGGGGGTTGAGGAGTGCGGGTGGAGGCGGAAGTAGATTGGTATTGGCATTTGGGGGTGGGTTGGGCTTGGTAGGGTGGTGGGGGTGGAGGAGGGGGGGTAGTAGGTGTGATAGGGGGGCGGGTTGTAAGTGGATGGTGTGAGGAAGGCTGCGTCTGTTGCGGCGAGGAGGAGGGAGGGGTCTATTTGGAGGTCTGATGGGGAATGGGGGGTGTGGGTTAGGTTTGTATTGGTGTTTGAGTTTGAGGTTGTGTTTGTGTTTGGAGGAGCGGAGGTGGTTCGAGGGGTTGGGTGTGAAGACTGTGTGGTGAGGCAAGGGGGCGCGGGGCCAGGACCAGGACCTTGGTGGATTTGCTTCTTCTTTGTGGGATCCTTTGCGATGCGTTCTTGTTGCTGGCGCTTCATGACATCTCGGGCCAGCGCCTCAATGGCGCGGATTTTACGTTGGTAGTCTGGGTCGGCTCCGCCGTGAGCCAGGGCTCGGGTCAGGTATTCAGACTCATTCACCCAGGCTTGTTTGAGCTCGGTCCAGAGCGCGTCGCCGGCTTCGTACTTGCTGGTGCAGTTATTGGCAATCAGTTTTGCGGCAAAGGCTGCCCTGACATATCTCGTTCGTTCGGGGTTCAGGCATAGCAGCTTTTTGGCCTCGGAGAGATTCATGCTCTTGCCCATGACACGTAGTCGTTTGGTAACGTCCATGCAGATGACGTCGAGTGACAGTGCTCGCTGACCTTTGGGGCGGAAGAGAGCTTCATTGCTTTGCAGCGCGTCGGGCTCTTGTTCGAATGCACTGGACAAGTGTACGTTTTCCCGTATAAGCTGCCGGACAATTTGCGCCCACTTCTCTGGCCCGGCAGTGGTCTTCTTGACAATGTCATTCTCCCTACACATCTCCAGGAAGCGCTCGCGCACCTCGCGGTACACGTCATTGTCGAGTCCCAGATATGCCTTGGCCTCGTCGATGGTGGTCTCGGACGGGAATCGAGGCGGCTCGCCTGGGGCATCCGGTGGTAGGCCAGCCCAACCGCGTGTTCGCCGTCTTCGTTTGCGCGTACGCCACTTCTCATCGCTCTCGACTTGGAGTTGTTCTTGTCGTAATTGCCTCCGAAGCAACTCTTCGGCGCTCAGTGCTGTAGGGCCTGCGTCTGCTGCATCTGCTGTCTCTGCGCCCTCCGCCTCTGTTTGTTCCAAGCTGAGAGCCTGCTCTTCTTCGCTTTCCTCCTCCTCCTCCTCTGAAGAAGGCTCGTCCGCCAGTATAGAGTTTGCGAGGTTATTAATCAGACCGTTGCCTGAAAGGACCTTCTGTGGGCGCTTCTTCTGCCCCTTTCCTTTTCCTTTTCCTTTCCCTTTTGCCTTTACTTTCCGTATCCCGCCATCTACAGCCACAGCCTGCTTCCTCTTCGGTCTAGGCGCACTCTCTCTCAGCAGCAATTTAAGCCTCAATCGCAAGCGGATGAGTTCGCGGTCATTAATCGAGTAGCCCTCCGCCTGCAGCGTATCGATCATATCCTTCTGGGTGTAATTCTGCTCCCATAGATCCTGCACGCGGGCAACGAGGGCCGGGTTCTTGTGCGCGGGCGCCTGTTTGCGGGGAAAGTCCCATCGCTGGAGGAGGTGTCAGTTTTGGCCGGTTTGTGCATGTGGGCGGGCGTGATGGTGTATGGCGGGCGGGGGGAATGTTTACTTTGAATTGTGTCTGGAAGGCTCGTTTGCTGGTACGTTCTTGTCATCAGCTTCACTTTGATACACGGTACGGCGAGCTGTAAGAGCTGTGGATGCACTCGCCCAGCTGCTCGGACTACCAGTCGACCGACATACCTGGGCGTGAAGCCTTGGGCCTCCCAGTACGCAATCACCTCGTCGAGACTCTTCTTCTCCTCGACATACAGCCGGTAGCACTCTGCCTCCTTGTCGTCCCAGTGATACATTTCCTCTGCCCGTGGCTCTCTCACAAGTAGGGCGGGGGTTGGGTATGGGAGGCGCGCGAGCAGTTGCACAAGTGGTTTGATCGATGGCTCGACGCGTGCACTGCGTTTGGTGGTGAAGGAGCCCGCCATAGAACTCGCCCCGCCAAGTAGCGCGCCCCCTTCTCGGCTGACACTACGCCGAAGCCGAGGGGTTTGCGGTTTATGCTCCGATTCAACTTCAGTTTTGTCTACCCGAGAAGCCCGCACGCGGGCTTGTGGATATTACGGGTGCTTTTTGCGCTGGCGCTGGCGGGCTTTCTCATTACACTTGAGTTTGTACTTGCAATTGTACACGCTACTCTCTAGAATAGCCTTGTTCTCGTCCTTTTCTACACCTTCAAACACTCTGCAACCCGTTGCCCGCATACTCTACTCACCCCACCACTCCCCCCTCTTCACCCCGCCATAACACACACAACCCCATACCACTCCCCCCCAACCATGAGCAGAATGAGCGGTCTCTGGAACAAAGAAGCCAGCACGCCCGCGGCCCCAACCCCCCAACTCCTCGCCGGCAAAACCATGGCCATCACCGGCGGCGTCACAGGCATCGGTCGCGCCATCGTCCTGGCCTACCTGCAGCACGGCGCCAACGTAGCCGTCAACCACATGGGCGACGCGCAGTCGAGCGCACAATTCGAGTCGCTGGTGGAAGAGGCGGCGCAGGCGCAGCAAGTAAGCAAAGAGGAGATGCGGAAGCGGGTGGTGCAGGTACCGGGGGATGTAGGCGAGCCGGAGACGGGCAAGGCGCTGGTGGGCGCGGTGGTTGAGAAGTGGGGACGGTTGGATGTGGTGATAAGCAATGCTGGGATTTGCGAGTTCAAGGAGTTTTTGGAGTATGTCTGGGTTTTTTCATGGCTTTCACTATCCTCCAGCTCTGTCTTGCTATACCCTCTAACCCCCTTTCTCTTCAACCACCAAACTAACCACCCTCAGCATAACCCCAACCCTCTGGTCAAAAACCCTATCCACAAACCTCACCGGCGCCTTCCACACCCTCCAAGCCGCCGCCCACCAACTAACCTCCCAATCCCCCCCCGGCGGCTCGATAATCGGCATATCCTCCATCAGCGCCCTCGTCGGCGGGGCCTCGCAAGCCCACTACACCCCCACCAAAGCCGGCGTCCTCTCCCTCATCCAGTCCGCCGCCTGCGCACTCGGCAAATACGGGATCCGATGCAATGCGCTGCTGCCGGGGACGATTCGCACGCAGCTGAATGAGGAGGATTTGCGGGATGAGGAGAAGAGGCGGTATATGGAGGGCAGGATTCCGTTGGGGAGGACGGGGGTGCCGGCGGATTTGGCGGGGCCGGCGGTGTTTTTGGGGAGTGAGTTGAGTGGGTATGTGAATGGGGGGCAGTTGTTGGTGGATGGGGGGTTGTTTGTGAATTTGCAGTAGTAGGGGGGGGGGGGGGGGGGGGATATGTAGGATGGGACAAAGGGAGAGATTTTCAGAATGGTACGTGACGGTAACACGTTTATTGTGCCATGGAAAATGAAACACACACAACACAGTCTGCATGCTGCCATTTCGCTTAATTCTTTTACTCCCCATATTCGTTTAGTTCGGTTGGGTCTGGTCTCCCGCAG